ACCCTAACATACTCCAACTGACCATGGAGGTCTCACTGATAACCCTAACATACTCCAACTGACCATGGAGGTCTCACTGAAAACCCTAACATACTCCAACTGACCATGGAGGTCTCACTGATAATTCTAACATACTCCAGCTGACCATGGAGGTAACACTGATAACCCTAACATACTCCAACTGACCATGGAGGTCTCACTGATAACCCTAACATACACCAACTGACCATGGAGGTCTCACTGATAACACTAGCATACTCCAATTGACCATGGAGGTCTCACTGATAACCCTAACATACTCCAGCAGACCATGGAGGTCTCACTGATGACCCTAACATACTCCAGCTGACCATGGAGGTCACACTGATAAACCTAACATACTCCAGCTGACCATGTAGGTCTCACTGATAACCCTAATATATTCTAGGTGACCATGGAGGTCTCACTGATAACCCTAACATACTCCAGCTGACCATGGAGGTCTCACTGATAACCCTTACATACTCCAGCTGACCATGGAGGTCTCACTGATAAACCTAACATACTCCAGCAGACCATGGAGGTCTCACTGATAACCCTAACATACTCCAGCTGACTATGGAGGTCTCACTGATAAACCTAACATACTCCAACTGACCATGGAGGTCTCACTGATAACCCTAACATACTTCAACTGACCATGGAGGTCTTACTGATAACCCTAACATACTCCAGCTGACTATGGAGGTCTCACTGATAACCCTAACATACTTCAACTGACCATGGAGGTCTCACTGATAACCCTAACATACTTCAACTGACCATGGAGGTCTCACTGATAACCCTAACATACTCCAGCTGACCATGGAGGTCTCACTGATAACCCTAACATACTCCAACTGACCATGGAGGTCTCACTGATAACCCTAACATACTCCAACTGACCATGGAGGTCTCACTGAAAACCCTAACATACTCCAACTGACCATGGAGGTCTCACTGATAACTCTAACATACTCCAGCTGACCATGGAGGTCTCACTGATAACCCTAACATACTCCAACTGACCATGGAGGTCTCACTGATAACCCTAACATACACCAACTGACCATGGAGGTCTCACTGATAACACTAGCATACTCCAATTGACCATGGAGGTCTCACTGATAACCCTAACATACTACAGCTGACTATGGAGGTCTCACTGATAACCCTAATATACTCCAACTCATCATGGAGGTCTCACTGATAACCCTAACATACTCCAACTGACCATGGAGGACTCACTGATAACCCTAATATACTCCAACTCATCATGGAGGTCTCACTGATAACCCTAACGTACTCCAACTGACCATGGAGGTCTCACTGATAACCTTAACATACTCCAACTGACCATGGAGGTCTCACTGATAACCCTAACATACTTCAACTGACCATGGAGGTCTCACTGATAACGCTAACATACTCCAGCTGACCATGGAGGTCTCACTGATAACCCTAACATACTCCAGCTGACCATGGAGGTCTCACTGATGACCCTAACATACTCCAGCTGACCATGGAGGTCTCACTGATGACCCTAACATACTTCCACTGACCATGGAGGACTCACTGATAACCCTAACATACTCCAGCTGACTATGGAGGTCTCACTGATAACCCTAACATACTTCAACTGACCATGGAGGTCTCACTGATAACCCTAACATACTTCAACTGACCATGGAGGTCTCACTGATAAACCTAACATACTCCAGCTGACCATGGAGGTCTCACTGATAACCCTAACATACTCAAACTGACCATGGAGGTCTCACTGATAACCCTAACATACTCCAACTGACCATGGAGGTCTCACTGATAACCCTAATATACTCCAGCAGACCATGTAGGTCTCACTGATAACCCTAACATACTCCAGCTGACCATGGAGGTCTCACTGATAAACCTAATATACTCCAACTGACCATGGAGGTCTCACTGATAACCGTAACATACTTCAACTGACCATGGAGGACTCACTGATAACCCTAACATACTCCAGCTGACTATGGAGGTCTCACTGATAACCCTAACATACTTCAACTGACCATGGAGGTCTCACTGATAACCCTAACATACTTCAACTGACCATGGAGGTCTCACTGATAAACCTAACATACTCCAGCTGACCATGGAGGTCTCACTGATAACCCTCACATACTCCAACTGACCATGGAGGTCTCACTGATAACCCTAACATACTCCAACTGACCATGGAGGTCTCACTGATAACCCTAACATACTCCAACTGACCATGGAGGTCTCACTGATAACCCTAACATACTCCAGCTGACCATGGAGGTCTCACTGATAACCCTAACATACTCCAACTGACCATGGAGGTCTCACTGATAACCCTAACATACTCCAACTGACCATGGAGGTCTCACTGATAACCCTAATATACTCCAGCAGACCATGTAGGTCTCACTGATAAACCTAACATACTCCAGCTGACCATGGAGGTCTCACTGATAAACCTAATATACTCCAACTGACCATGGAGGTCTCACTGATAACCGTAACATACTTCAACTGACCATGGAGGACTCACTGATAACCCTAACATACTCCAGCTGACTATGGAGGTCTCACTGATAACCCTAACATACTTCAACTGACCATGGAGGTCTCACTGATAACCCTAACATACTTCAACTGACCATGGAGGTCTCACTGATAAACCTAACATACTCCAGCTGACCATGGAGGTCTCACTGATAACCCTCACATACTCCAACTGACCATGGAGGTCTCACTGATAACCCTAACATACTCCAACTGACCATGGAGGTCTCACTGATAACCCTAACATACTCCAACTGACCATGGAGGTCTCACTGATAACCCTAACATACTCCAGCTGACCATGGAGGTCTCACTGATAACCCTAACATACTCCAACTGACCATGGAGGTCTCACTGATAACCCTAACATACACCAACTGACCATGGAGGTCTCACTGATAACCCTAACATACTCCAATTGACCATGGAGGTCTCACTGATAACCCTAACATACTACAGCTGACTATGGAGGTCTCACTGATAACCCTAACATACTCCAACTGACCATGGAGGTCTCACTGATAACCCTAACATACTCCAACTGACCATGGAGGACTCACTGATAACCCTAACATACTCCAGCTGACTATGGAGGTCTCACTGATAACCCTAACATACTCCAACTCATCATGGAGGTCTCACTGATAACCTTAATATACTCCAACTCATCATGGAGGTCTCACTGATAACCCTAACATACTCCAGCTGACCATGGAGGTCTCACTGATGACCCTAACATACTCCAGCTGACCATGGAGGTCTCACTGATAAACCTAACATACTCCAGCTGACCATGTAGGTCTCACTGATAACCCTAATATATTCTAGGTGACCATGGAGGTCTCACTGATAACCCTAACATACTCCAGCTGACCATGGAGGTCTCACTGATAACCCTTACATACTCCAGCTGACCATGGAGGTCTCAATGATAAACCTAACATACTCCAGCAGACCATGGAGGTCTCACTGATAACCCTAACATACTCCAGCTGACTATGGAGGTCTCACTGATAAACCTAACATACTCCAACTGACCATGGAGGTCTCACTGATAACCCTAACATACTTCAACTGACCATGGAGGTCTTACTGATAACCCTAACATACTCCAGCTGACTATGGAGGTCTCACTGATAACCCTAACATACTTCAACTGACCATGGAGGTCTCACTGATAACCCTAACATACTTCAACTGACCATGGAGGTCTCACTGATAAACCTAACATACTCCAGCTGACCATGGAGGTCTCACTGATAACCCTAACATACTCCAACTGACCATGGAGGTCTCACTGATAACCCTAACATACTCCAACTGACCATGGAGGTCTCACTGAAAACCCTAACATACTCCAACTGACCATGGAGGTCTCACTGATAACCCTAACATACTCCAGCTGACCATGGAGGTCTCACTGATAACCCTAACATACTCCAACTGACCATGGAGGTCTCACTGATAACCCTAACATACACCAACTGACCATGGAGGTCTCACTGATAACACTAGCATACTCCAATTGACCATGGAGGTCTCACTGATAACCCTAACATACTACAGCTGACTATGGAGGTCTCACTGATAACCCTAATATACTCCAACTCATCATGGAGGTCTCACTGATAACCCTAACATACTCCAACTGACCATGGAGGACTCACTGATAACCCTAATATACTCCAACTCATCATGGAGGTCTCACTGATAACCCTAACGTACTCCAACTGACCATGGAGGTCTCACTGATAACGTTAACATACTCCAACTGACCATGGAGGTCTCACTGATAACCCTAACATACTCCAACTCATCATGGAGGTCTCACTGATAACCCTAACATACTCCAGCTGACCATGGAAGTCTCACTGATGACCCTAACATACTCCAGCTGACCATGGAGGTCTCACTGATGACCCTAACATACTCCAACTCATCATGGAGGTCTCACTGATAACCCTAACATACTCCAACTCATCATGGAGGTCTCACTGATAACCCTAATATACTCCAACTCATCATGGAGGTCTCACTGATAACCCTAACATACTCCAGCTGACCATGGAGGTCTCACTGATAACCCTAACATACTCCAGCTGACCATGGAGGTCTCACTGATAACCCTAACATACTCCAACTGACTATGGAGGTCTCACTGATAACCCTAACATACTCCAGCTGACCATGGAGGTCTCACTGATGACCCTAACATACTCCAGCTGACCATGGCGGTCTCACTGATGACCCTAACATACTCCAGCTGACCATGGAGGTCTCACTGATAACCCTAACATACTTCAACTGACCATGGAGGTCTCACTGATAACGCTAACATACTCCAGCTGACCATGGAGGTCTCACTGATAACCCTAACATACTCCAACTCATCATGGAGGTCTTCCTACCTTGTCCTGGTTGACTCTGTGACGGAACACCATGTTAGCAAGGAGACGTATGAGATCTCTCTTCAGCCCAAAGGCAGGGTGATGTGGATCTATCCGGTCCGATTCGGTCATCTTCTCTACAGCTGTGAAATGGTTGCCACCTTGTCGCCCGATATCATGTATGCCATGGAGCAGATCTACAAGGGAGAAACCTCTGTCATGGCTAGGTACACTCTCCTGTCCTACACCACCCAAACTTTGTAGGATGATTTTCTTTCACTGATTAGCCTTAACTCACAGGACATAAAGGACGGTTAAGAGAGCTTCATGAAGGTGCCAACCCTATTCAACCTTGAATCCTAAATACCAAACAGGATGGCTAAGAAGGCTAAATATTCAAACATGAGGGTGCCTACTCTATCCATCCAAAAAATACCAGTCCCTCCTGGATTTCGTGATTCTGCTGTTGCAAAATAAATCGCAGAAATTACATTTGATGCAGAAAAACGTCTGGTCCGCGGAAAACGCATTTTCATGTCGATTACCTGCAGAACTTGCCATTTTTTCTGCCCCAGAATTCACTTATTATGAAAGTTGAATCAAGATTGACTATCAACCGAAACGAAAAGTAGGGGTAAATGTCAAAAGAATGAATGGTTACACAAACACGAACTGAGACATTTGTTATAACGATATTTTCAATATATTCCTCAATAATGATGATTTATTCACAAGGTAATATTTTCTTCAGCACCTTACAATGATATTATTTTGAATTTGACCCTGCAATTATGTTCACAAAATCGATCATTTTGAAGATTGAAATTGCATTCTTGTGTGTTTTTTTCAAGTTTTAAACTGCAGAATTTTTTGCAGAAGTTTGAAAAATGGGATGCAGAATTTACTTAAATTTGCCGTGTAACTCTCCCTCCAGGAGGGACTGAAATACCATACAGGGTGGCTAAGGGGGCCAAATATTCAATCATGAGGGTGCCTACCCTGTTCAGCCTTGAATACCATCTAAATTTTCACTCCAAATCCCATTGCTCATCCCAGTATCCTGAATACATCTTAATACATATCACAAAAACTGGCACAGAAACACATTCAACTAACTGGTAGCACCTTCAACAAGTGCTGGAGACCCTAACAGAGGCAAATTTTATGGGAAGAAGTTTCAAAAGTAGTTTTAGATGTTGGCAACACAGTGTAGACCAAATCATGAAATGAATTGGGTGTTTCAATTCTTTCACTTCATTTGTTGAGGGAACGGAGAATCTTACTCAAGTGTCTTTTGATATCAAGTATATCAACTCATGGAGTTTTATACATTTATCAAAGGTTTAAGCCTACTGAAGCCTCTCACTGGTGCTTACTCTCCTGTATAACACATGCAGCAGATAGAATGTCATACACATCTAACTGGGTTGTTGCACAGTTTTGTTAATGAATCAACCAGCATAAGCCTATGAAAGCCTCTCACTGGTGCTTATTCTCCTGTATAACACATGCAGCAGATATAAGGTCATACACATCTAACTGGGTTGTTGCACAGTTTTGTAAATGTATGAATCAGCATTAGCCGATGGAAGCCTCTCACTGGTGCTTACTCTCCTGTATAACACATGCAGCAGATATAAGGTCATACACATCTAACTGGGTTGTTGCACAGTTTTGTTAATGAATCAATCAGTGTAAGCCTATGGAAGCCATTACCGTTCTTGTATATCACATTCAGCTTACTAAACACCATTCACCTGTTTCAGCATTAGCCAATGAGTATAAGCCTATGGTAGCCACTATCTGGTGCTTGTGTTACTATGTACCACATAGAACTTACAAAAGGTCATACACTTCTTTCAACATTATTCAATGAGTGTAAGCCTATAGTAGCCACTATCTGGTGCTTGTGTTACTAAATACCACATAGAACTTACAAAAGGTCATACACCTCTTTCAACATTATTCAATGAGTGTAAGCCTATGGTAGCCACTATCTGGTGCCTGAGTTACTATGTATCACATAGAACTTACAAAAAGTCATACACCTCTTTCAACTTTATTTAATGAGACTCGGTGTAAGCCAATGAAAGCCAGTTTGGGATGATAAATTCTGCTGTGGTCAACAGGTACTTTACTTACTGACACAGCACACGAGGAGGTCGGAGTCGTCCTGCAGACTTCCATACAGGGAATACTGAGATGTGGCCATTCCAAGTGCTTCCAGGATCTTCACGAGCAGCAGGGGGGTCTAGAGATACAAGTATGAGTCAGGGAATAGGAACACATCATCAAACTGCCAAGCCCTTTCTCCAATGCTAAAGCCCTAAATGAAGCAATTCTGGATTCAGTCATTATTTTAATCTACAATCTCACTGGGGCTCCTTTTCAATTTCAAAGGACCTGTTTGTTTCTATGAAAATTATATACATTCAGAGACAAACTCATTCACTTGTTAGCATCTCTAGAAATGTCCATCTATCAGCAACTCCAGACAACTCCAGCCTCACTTGTGAGTCTCCCGTGTCCTGGAGTCCTGCCTGTAGGATCTGATGGCTGTACGCCTTCACCTCCCTCCCCAGGTACAGCAAGTTCTCCATTGCTACAACATGCAACTTCTCCATCGATGTATCACTCTCCGCCCTCTTCAACATTCCGATAGCAACCTCCACAACAAACAGCCTAAAACAACAGAGAAAGAGGTCTAATACTACTAACTGGGTCTCCTGTATACTAACTGGGTCTCCTGTATAACACACAACAGACATAACGACATCCATTACTGGGTCTCCTGTATAACATACAGTAGATATAACATCCATTACTGGTGAGCGAGTTTAGTTTTACGCCGCACTCAACAATATTCAAGCTATATAACGGTGGTCTGTAAATAATCGAGTTTGGAGCAGACAAGCCAGTGATCAACAGCATGAGCATCGATCTGCACAATTGGGAACCGATGACATGAGTCAAGCAAGTCAGCGAGCCCGACCACCCGATCCCGTTAGTCGCCTTTTACGACAAGCATGGGTTACTGGAGATCAATATTCTAACCCGGACCTTCAAGGGTCATGCATTACTGGGTCTCCTGTATAACACGCAGTAGATATAACATCCATTACTGGGTCTCCTGTATAAAATGCAGTAGATATAACATTCATCACTGGGTCTCCTTATAACATACAGTAGATATAACATCCATTACTGGATCTCCTGTATAAAATGGAGTAGATATAACATCCATCACTGGGTCTCCTGTATAGTATGCAGTAAATAAAATATACATTACTTGGTCTCCTGTATAGTATGCAGTAAATATAACATCCATTACTGGGTCTCCTGTATAAAATGCAGCAGATATAATATCCATTACTGGGTCTCCGGTATAGCATGCAGTAGATATAACATCAATCACTGGGTCTCGTGTATAATATACAGTAGATATAACATCCATCACTGGGTCTCCTGCATAAAATACAGTAGATATAACATCCATTAATGGGTCTCCTGTATAGTATGCGTTAAATATAACAGCCATTACTGGGTCTCCTGCATAACATACAGTAGATATAACATCCATTACTGGGTCTCCTGCATAAAACACAGTAGTCATAACATCCATTACTGGGTCTCCTGTATAACATACAGTAGATATGACATCCATTACTGGGTCTCCTGTATAACATACAGTAGATATAACATCCATCACTGGGTCTCCTGTATAACATACAGTAGTCATAACATCCATCACTGGGTCTCCTGTATAACATACAGTAGATATAACATCCATTACTGGGTCTCCTGCATAAAACACAGTAGTCATAACATCCATCACTGGGTCTCCTGTATAACATACAGTAGTCATAACATCCATCACTGGGTCTCCTGTATAACATACAGTAGATATAACATCCATTACTGGGTCTCCTGCATAAAACACAGTAGTCATAACATCCATCACTGGGTCTCCTGTAGAACATACAGTAGATATAACATCCATTACTGGGTCTCCTGTATAACATACAGTAGATATAGCATCCATTACTGGATCTCCTGTAAAACATACAGCAGATATAACATCCATTAGTGGGTCTCCTGTATAATATACAGTAGATATAACCTGTGTTGGCCAACCTGTTACTGTCTACCTACCTGTAAATGTCGACCTACCAATGACAGTCAACCTGCCTGTAAATGTTGATCTTCCTGTAAATGTCAATCTACCTGTAATTGTTGATCTATCTGTGACTATCAACCTACCTGTGAATGTCCAGCTACCTGTAATTGTTGGTCTATATGTGACTATCGACCTACCTGTGAATGTCCAGCTACCTGTAATTGTTGATCTATATGTGACTATCGACCTACCTGTGAATGTCCAGCTACCTGTAATTGTTGATCTATATGTGACTATCGACCTACCTGTGAATGTCCAGCTACCTGTAATTGTTGATCTATCTGTGACTATCGACCTACCTGTGAATGTCCAGCTACCTGTAATTGTTGATCTATCTGTGACTATCGACCTACCTGTGAATGTCCAGCTACCTGTAATTGTTGATCTATCTGTGACTATCGACCTACCTGTAAATGTCAATCTACCTGTAATTGTTGATCTATCTGTGACTATCGACCTACCTGTGAATGTCCAGCTACCTGTAATTGTTGATCTATCTGTGACTATCGACCTACCTGTGAATGTCCAGCTACCTGTGACTGTCAGTGTACCAGTAAATGTCGACCTACCTGTGAGTGGGAGGTAGACTAATGTAGATGGTTTCACAGAAGGCTGCCACCTGCAGGAGATCTTCCACCACAAACAGCCTGTAATTAAGACATACAGGTCACCACATGACAATCTATACAGTGATCTGAGTTCTGTTATTTAATTAACACTGCAGTCAGCTTTTTCCCCTTTATTCCATGGCACATGTAATAATCAAATGACTCTCGGGCTGACAAGTAAATAAGTCTAGACCTGTAAAAGTCTCAACCCTTGTTTGATAAAGTCCTGATAAGCTGACTCAAGGAGATGTTACTTGTGTTGATCTTGTGATGCCAGAAGGGTTGTTCAACATGTAGCAAGGTAAGTTAAGGACAAATAACTTCATTGCACTGCTTTTGTTTCAGTTTGTTCATGCTTAAAAGATGGTCAAATTAAACACCATGTCAATATGCAGGATAGCAAACAAAGGGAGATAATCTGAGTCCAGGTCTAAACAGGCATGTCAAAACAGATTTAAAAATGATACACACCTGAGAGAGAAAACAAACATGTTTTACAGATAAATACCAAAGCATGAAATCTTGTTTTAAAAAAACATAATGATAAGATATATGTAAAAATGCATGCAGCCAACAGTCTGTAGCCCAAACTTTGGACTAGTGCTTGAAACAAATAAGAATGATAATGTCGACCTACCCCCATTCCACGTCCGCTTGGACAGTCTGTTCTATCACAGAGAGCACAACTCTGGCGAAGATGTCGTCATCCAAGCTGAGGTAGTCGGGGAGGACTCTGTTGGTCGGGTCTGCTGTCTGCGGCAGGAGACAGTTGTGGAGCACCATGCAGGTGTAGTTCACCACACCGCTGTCAGACGACTGCAGCAACCTCCTGTAACCATGGAAACACAGGTATAGGAATTAAAATCATCAGCTTAGGGACTACAATTATTATCTTACCTCACACATAAATGTCACTTTCTGATTGGCTGAGTGCTCTTCTATTACTTTTAAATGTATCTCACTTACAAGGGAGTAACATGTCAATGTACCCTGCTGTCAATGGCAACTCATTTGTTACTTCGTGGTAGTAATTCTTTATCTCAAATAACATTGAATCACGTATGATGTATGAAAATTACCGATGTTTTGCGAATGCAAATCGATGGAAGGGAGATAACTCTAAATCTTTTTTCTTGTCAGCAAAATCTAGTGATGGCTACAAAAAGATTCGTACCCGTGCTTCAAACAATCCAAAATTAACATAAAGGTGTTTGGTAAGATAATTACGTTGTTCACTGGTCCCTCGGGGCCCATGGGTTGACGTACACTCAACCCATGCCCCCCCTCGTGACCAGTGAACAACTTATAATATAATGGCATGATGATCAACTACGAAATGTCATAATGGAAAAACAGATTAGTCAGTAGTGGTTATACAACCAATTTTGGGTTTTCTATTTTTCCCAATATTTATCACATTCCATTTGAAATTATGTTGTTGTTGCTCAAACACCTAAATACTTCCTATTTGCACTTTTCATACATGATGTCTGCTACTAGTCAGAATGATGCACATGCAGTATTTCACATGACATAAACATGTGCGACCAGTTCCAAAAAAAATGTACAGAAGGGACACGTTTAAATATATTTCGTCCAAAGTGTCCACAATATATTCATTGAATAAATTCTTGAAAGATATACATAGCATCTGCCCTGAAATATTTTATCAAAATCTGTTCAGTACACCATGGTATGCCATTTCATTTATCTACAGGACTTTTCTTTCCTGTAGGGACATTTGAAATAAATTATTAGTGGTCTTTAGAACACATTATTTAACAGTCATCTCTACTGAATGTCAGACACATTATATAACAGTCATTTCCCTTGCATGTCATACACATTATATAACAGTCGTCTCACCTGAATATCAGGAAAATTAATTATCTCACCTGAGGTCAGACATATCATACAACTATTAGCCCAAATTATCGGTTGCATGCACTTTGAACACCAGAAGGTCAGACACATTAATTATCTCACCTGAAGGTACAGAGAAACTGCCTACACACATTCTCCTGGTTGTGATTGTGCCCGACACACATATTGCCAATGAACTGCATCGCGCACCTCTGTAGCGTGATCAACTCTGATGTAGAGGGTTGATCATATACCACCTCCAACACAGCACAAGTGTCTGACATCACAGTGGTAGATCCACCAATTGTTGACTGGTTACCACGGCAACCTGCACATGCATTACGCAAACACCGAAATGTCTCTGTTGAACATTTTACAAGGTAATCATCAAGAGGGTGCTCTCTGTCACCGCCTGCTGTTGTTGCTGCTGTTTGGTCTGTGCCCGTTGTTGTTGCTGCTGTTGAGTTGACGACTGATGTTGCTGCTGCTGTTTTGTTGGTGACTGTTGTCATTGCTGTTCTTACTATTGACAGAGCAGCAAAGACGTCATTGAAAACAGACATTGCTGCATTGTTTCTGCAAATAAAAGTAACCTGCAGTCAGCAGCAAATGGTGCTCCAGAGTTCACGGGGCACAGACACACACCTTAAAGTACAGACACTCCTATGACATATTTGAGTGGAAAACAATGACTGGTCCCTTCAAAAATTATTAAAAAGTGGGTGCCATCAGAAAGAAAAGTTTGTTTACTTTTTTCTTAAAGATTGCATTACAAAGAAAAATTGTTTTATTAGCCGATGACACTCTTTAGATTATTTTTACCATATGCATATATCACTCCTCTCAGACAAACAAAATATTTCAACCTGATTTAACCTTGAATGCTATTTGTAGATTTCGTATTAATGACTGAGTGAGTGAGTTTAGTTTTACGCCACACTCAGCAACATTCCATTGGTGGCGGTCTGTAAATAATTGAGTCTGGACCAGACAATCCAGTGATCAACTGCATGAGCATCGATCTGCTCAATTGGGAACCGATGACATGTGTCAACCAAGTCAGCGAGCCTGACCACCTGATCCCGTTAGTCGCCTCTTACGAAAAGCACAGTCGCCTTTTGTGGCAAGCATGGGTTGCTGAAGACCTATTCTACCCCGGATCTTATGAAGATGGATGTGTGTTGCTAAAGGCAGATAACTTGAAGTGAATGATTTCATTCAAAGAGGAAGTTTAGTTCGACTCAATATAATTATGTAAACTGTCAAAGGAGGATTCAAATACCTTGAGAAACTTTCATTTATCTATTTTTGCATCTACCTATGCATAAGTTTTCTTCATTAAATCATCAACATCATAAATTTTGTCAAACAGCGCGGTATAATTTATCCAAATACCTGTATGCATCTGACTTGAACAACTGAGTAAATTCAGCCAATGTAGAAATGCACTGAGACCACTGACTGTCAGCAGCCAGGACACCGAGACCGCCATGAGCCATGTTTGTTGATAGGGACTCTCTCTCCTTCCCGAGTCCACGACGCGTGGTTAACTGGGAACAGACGGGCCCCCGGATCCTCTAGCTGATGCGGGCCCTGTACAAGTTATCGCAAGTTGTCGTGCGCAAAGGGAGCCGGGAACCGGCTTAGAATGAAAGACGAGCAGACTGCTTACGGAACATGGTGTAACTTCCGGAAACGTTAAACTGGGCATTGCTATATGTTGCGATACGACAATCAGCCAGTTTGTTATACTTACAATAAGTACTTGCAATTTTGGCCTTGCAAGTCATTGGAATTTTGTTAGGTCCGTTGATGCTTGATGTGAGAAGTTTAAATGAAAGGTTAATTAAATCGTTACGCAGCCTTATAAGTCTTATAAAAACTAGTTAAATCAAATTTAGTGCAAAAAGGCAAATACAGTCATGACGGCTACGTACTAGTATAACACAAAACAAAATCAGTTAAACTGTTACCAGGGGTAATCTACAAATCTTCTATTCTCCCTGCTTTTACTTTATACACAGAAGGATTTTCTCCCATTTTGCCAGTAGTTAATCCGACCACAGTTAACGAATATCGGATTATAATTAACATCCTAATTATCAAGGTCGTGCCTGGACAGTGTTCACCACATGCAAAACAATTTTAGTCGATGATAGGTGTTCACAATTTGCAGCTTCAATTATCAATTTCCTATCAAAACTGACAGATAAATTTGGTTTTCACCCTGTACAATATGTATGCACACACAAACGCACACGTGTGTGTGTGTGCGTGTGTGTATAATCACTGTATCATTTGTTTACCTGTAACATAACTTATAACACTAATCATCTTCTTAAAATGATAAAAAAACATTACATGACTATAAGTTATATATGTATTAATGGTATATTTTTGTATATCTGTAACTTTATTTATAAGATGAATCATATACTCATGCCAATAATGGTCGTGTTTGGTTCACTCGCACTTTGCCAGAGTCTAACCAAAAAGGTTGCTCATTGCACTATGGCTAGATGAGAGATGTGAGCTAGGTAATTAGCATTAGCCACTGAAGCGTGAGCCTTTGTTCTAGGGCTATAGTGTATAGCTACAATGAGACACGATTTAAGAAGTATGCAAGTGTGTGTGCGTTTGTTTGTAATATGAAAATTCGGTTTAAACATATTTATTTCTGATATATTGTTCAGAAACTGGATCGGCAAACAAGCAAAAAGCTTATATCAATGCCTCTCCAGACAAACTAACATTTATGCGACTTGCATTTCATAACATTATTACAAAAGAACATGGTATCATAAATAACATTAAGCATACAATATACATGAACATAAAACAACATCCGTACAGCAAAAATACTTTTAGTTCTGCAAAGGGCCAGATGAAAACTTAAGACTGATTAAATCTTCTTGAGGTGATAATAAAGTTATGTACAGATTCGATTTCTTAATGCGCCTTCTTTCTACAAGAGGTAAGAGATCAGTTTCTGAATATAATTTATTATGACTTGTTCTTTAGCCCCACATATTGTTCTAAGTGCATCAGGGCGGTGGGCTAGCCTAGTGGTTAAAGCGTTGGCTCGTCACGCCGAAGACCCGGGTCCGAATCCCCACATGGGTACAATGTGTAAAGCCCATTTCTGGTGTCCCCCGCCCTGATATTGCTGGAATATTGCTAAAAGCGGCGTAAAACCAAACTCAGTCAGTCTAAGTGCATCAAAATGCATAAAGCATTGATGCATGGCTAACTGTACAGTTACAACTACAATAATCAAATAATGGTAGAACAAAGGATTTATACATAACGAATAGTGTTTTTCTTGACAGTCTGTATTTGTAACACCTTAAACAATTTATCATTGGTGAAACTTTATCAAGTACAGAATTTATCTGTGCAGTCCAATTTGCGTCTTTTTGAAACCAGAGGCCTAAATGTTTGTGCTCGGAATAATAATTAGTTTTGTATAAATAATATTGGACTAGTTAAAATTATATCACTAATATCATTAATTGAGCATTTCCTGAAATCTCTCGAGAGAATTCAAATAATACCATATCAATGTATCTCACTTACATACAAATGTCACTAATGTCACCAATTGAGCATTTCCTCAAATCCTCCAAAAAATTCAAATAATACCATAGTAATAAACATACATCTAACTTTAATACAAACTTCACTAATCTCACTAATTATAATTGAGCAACTTGGTTGAAACAAACTATGGCTCATCTGGGCTAAGTGTTAAAGGTCACATGTAACCAAAAAATCAAACATAATTAAAACACAATTATCACTTATTCATGACATATAATATACATTGCTGGTTATGAAAAAACATATAAACAAAATTATAAGCGTGCAATCGCAAATCAAAAGTGCAATATTGTGTACTTGGGTTTACTTCCCAAGAAACGAAGCAGCCGGGATACAGAGTGAGTGAGTGAGTGAGTTAATATTTAACGTCACATCGGCAATATTTCAGCCATATCGTGACGAGAACATTTTACATTGTAATGGAATATGTATATATTATAAAACCTGTCATCGAAGGACAGTAAAGCAACTAGAGTATCACAGATATAGATATGTAAAACTAGTAATTGAATCTAAAACATTTTAACCATAGGGGACAACACAATATAAAAATGGGCTATAGATCGCTAACAACTGAAGGTAGAGTGAGTGAGTGAGTTAAGATTTAAAGTCACATCGGCAATATTTCAGCCATATCGTGACTAAAACTAGTTCTAACTTTGTAATACAGACATATAATATATAAAACCCTGTCAACGAAGGACAGTAAAACAACTAGAATATCACAATTAGATTTAAAACTAGTGTGGAAGGTTAAAACTAATAGCACTATTAGGACAATACAAGATAAAAACAGGCTATAGATCGCCAACAACTGAAGGTCGATCACCATACTAGGGACCATGGGGACTTACAGTACCTTGGCTACCTGCATGGACCCTAGTTGGATTTACACCATCCCTTCAGCTGCCGGCGATTGTAAGAAATGTTAGCTACAATTAAAATGACAAAAATGCTACGTTTAAAAATCCTGGTAAGTTTAAATTGACTTTCGAAGTTTTGGGACTTACGTACCCTCTCAGGGGGACAATATTTTTACGATACTTCAACCCCCCTTGAGAGTACAGCCACTAACAATCTAAGTTACTAATCAAACTACCAATCATTAAAACACAGCTATATACAGAACATATTAATCAAAATTCATTAATGAAATCAATTTCTTTTAAAAAACCAAGAATTAAATGAAGATGAACAGAATTAAAAAGATCCTTAACAGTTTGAACATTGAAATATTTATCCCTTATGATGGAGAATTCAACACAGTCAAGCAGTAGATGCTTGACTGTGACTCTCATCACAAGGGATACAAAACGGAGGATCTTCACCATTTAACAAATATTTGTGAGTGTACCTTGTATGGCCAATACGACATCGTCGCATGATGACCTCTTCAAATCTGGACTGACAACCCAAGTAAGTGTAACCGATATAGGGTTTTATTTCATGTAATTTATTGATACCTACTTGAGTGTCCCACTTCTTTTGCATCAGATCACGGATATAAGATCTTATAGCAGCCTTGTAATCAGAGTATGGGATCAGAAGTGGTGTCACAGATTTGTTGAGGGCTGCCTTAGCAGCAATATCAGCCATTGTGTTCCCAGAAATGCCAACGTGGCTGGGTAACCAACAAAAGACGATGTCGTATTGGCCAGTAGCAAGCTCATTATACAATTCAATAATTTCTAATAAAAGTGGATGTTTACAAGAGAGATTTTTAATAGCCTGAAGACACGAAAGACAATCGGAAAATATTATGTATTGCTCATATTTACGGTGTTTATTAATATATTTAAGAGCTGTTAATATGGCGTTAGCTTCTGCTGTAAAAATAGAGCTGTTATCTGGTACACGAGAAGAGATTGTTCTGGATCCAATGACAGTGGCACAAGCCACCGCGCCACCATCCTTGGACCCATCTGTAAATAAGGATTTATGAGTATTATATTTATTTTTTAATTGATTATATTCTTGTTTATATTGTAAGTCATTAGTTACAGATTTCTTAAACTTTGTCAGAGTTAGGTCAACTTCAGGCCTCACCAGTTGCCAAGGAGGAGAAGAAAGAAGACGCGAAGGAGCTATATTTTCCAGCTCAATGCCGGCAGCAGAAATGAAGGGCTTAATTCTGTGCCCAAGTGGCGGAACAAGAGAAGGTTTTTTTATTGTATAAATCCTCATAGAGGGGATTAAAGACACAGTTAAATGCAGGGTTAGACTCGCTAGAATATAGTTTAGTAATGTATTGTAAGGATAATTTTATACGACGTTGTGTAAGAGAAGGTTCATCTGCTTCAACATATAGACTATCAATAGGAGAGGTTCTAAAGGACCCAAGACAAAGTCTTAGGCCTTGGTGGTGGACAGAATCAAGTAGTTTAAGGTTGCTTTTACAGGCTCCACCATATACGATGGAGCCATAATCAAGTTTCGAGCGGACCAATGAACGATATAGGTGGAGGAGGGTAGTTTGATCCCCTCCCCCACTTTGAGTTGGAAACAACTTTCAACAAATCGAGTGCCTTCAGGCATTTGGCTTTAAGTGATTTAATATGCGGCAAAAAGGTTAAATGGGAGTCGAAAATTAGACCCAAGAATTTGGCCTCCTTAACAACTTTGATGGGAGTGCCATTTAAAGATAGTTCTGGATCTTTATGCGGCTTATATTTTCTACAAAAGTGTAGACAATTAGTTTTGGATTTGGAAAATTTAAAGCCGTTTTCAAGACACCATTTATTTATTTTATTTAAACACAACTGCAATTGCCGTTCAATAGTATGCATATTTTTACCACGACAAGAAATATTAAAATCATCCACAAAAAGTGATCCATCAATTGAATCATTTAAAACCTTGGATAAACTGTTTATCTTGATACTAAACAATGTGACAGACAAAATACTGCCTTGAGGGACACCCTGATCCTGATTGTAATGATCAGACAGGGTTGAACCAACTCGGACTTGAAATTGTCTGTCTTTTAAAAACCGTGATATAAAAAGAGGCAAACGGCCCCTTAAACCAAAATCATGTAAATCCTTTAAAATGCCATGCTTCCA